TGGACATAATTAGGAGTTCAATGTACAGAAAGCTCTGAGCAAGAAGGGGCAGAGATGGAGTCAGGTGCCTTTAGTTGGTTGAGGTGTAAGGTGCCCAGGTGTCCTACTTTATAGAGGGCAGTCCTCTACTTGAAAATGTCTTCTATTTGAAAGGTTGCCTAATTCAAGCTAAAACATGGTTAAGTCAAATATATCCATTATCTTTTATCCTTTTCTCCTTTCATGTGGGCTTTTATTTTGAAATAAAGTTTAAAAGCCTCTGAAGGAACTTCTGCCAGAGGATTGTCCTTTATTTGAATGTATTCAAAGGGCTGTCCAGGCCAAGTTTGGTTCAAAGAAAAAGAGCGACCTAGGAGTTGTCCATCAACAGCACCTGCACCAAACTCAGAGCCAGATCACCTGGTCTTCCATGGCCTCTATGCATACAAATAATCAGATGTAAATATTATGCAAATCAGTGTCCTCGCTTTTGGCAATGTGTGACTGATCGCCCAGTCTGAGCAGTGGAGAAAGCCACTCCCAAAACGAGGCCAGAGAAAGAGGGGAGAGCAATGCTGTGGAAAAGATTTTTGAGCTGGACAGAGAGGGGATGGGAAGGGGTGGCCGGGCTTTGGTGTAGTCGTCCTTCATATCAGTTGGAATAGGGCCAAAGGCTTTCATCCCAGCATGTCTGGATCTGTCCCCAGATCTGGCCAAGAAATGATGTTTCAAAAGGAGGAACGTGCACGTAGCCCTCCTTTGGGGAGAATGAACGGCACGTTCCTCAAAACGCCTTCCTTGCACAGCATTTCTGGGTGAGCCTTCCCTGCGCTTGGGGTTGGCATGCGCTGCGCAAGGCTTATATGACGTGGGTTATCTGGAGCAGGAATGGCATGGTTAATGTTTGGCCTGCTTGGTATTTACGGTGCAATCACGTACTGCTTGAGACCAGTGTCTGTGTTAATATCTCAGAGCCAGCTCTCCAGGCCCAGGGCCGATTTTCTAGCCGCACAGCCAGAATGCAGAAGTCAGCCGGCGCGCTCTGCCTCGCCCGCTCTCTGTCCACTGCAAAAGGACCTTCTTTTGGGCAGCTGTGCATTAAAATAACTACACCTTGCTCTTCGAGCCAGCGCTTCTACCAGAGCCAGCTTTGGCACAAGGGTGGGCTTGCTTGGACACCTGTTGAGGGGTCCCCACCAGGGGTCCCCTGCTCCCTTCCATTCCCACGGCAACCTGCCTCCCCCCTTGGCCCAGACCACAGTGCTGGAGTGGAGGAGAACAGATCCCTCGGCCTCTGGCCTGCTGGGTGGCAAGCCGGCAAGAGCGAGCAACTGGCGGCAGCAGAGGTGGGCGGGCAGGTTCACTGGGGGAGGGCCCCACGAGAGCCACTTGCCCAGGGGCCACGACGACGGCAGCTGCCCCCAGGGAAAACGCGCTCCTCCGCTTGCGCACCACGGCCGGCAGAGCTGTGGGCAGCAGCCATAGCCACACGCATCCTCCGGCGGCTGGGCCCGGCCAACGCACGAGCTCCCACAATGCCCTGGAATGACACTGCATGTGAGACGTTTGTGGGAAATCGCAGGGGTGGCTGACCCAGCGCAGAGCACTGAGCACGATTCCTTGCGGAATGGATGTCCCTTGCAGGCACCCACAGAGCGGCTGCTGCGGCAATGGGGCGCCCCGGCAGTTGCCCAAGGATGCCGGATTCGGATGCCAGCCCTGCCTCGAACTACTCAGGGCAATTCCTGCTTCCATAAAAATGCGTACTGGCTGTTGCACCAGCTCTAGTGTATAGCAAGTTGACGACCACGAAAGCTAAACGGAACCTCCATATTTCAGAGGCGGTACACACTCGGTGCCAGATGCCAGGCCTAAACGGAAGAGGCATTGCGTTGGTGTGGTGCTTTGTGAGTTTCCTCTCACTGGTGGCTGCAGGCGGCACCCTGAAGGCCCACGGGACACCCACTTTGCTGGAACTAAGCAGGTGTAGGTCCAGTAGAGGCCTAGAGGGGACACTGCCTGAGAAGCAATGTCTGCATTGCCTTGCGTTCTGCAATGGGAGAAAGACATCGCTGCTAGAATAAAATGGCACGTGGCTTCTGCCTTCCCCAGTCTGGCGTTGCCCCTTTATTTCGGATGGTTTACTCCCTGCGTTCCTGACCATGAGCAACATAGGTTGGGGCTGATGGGAGTTACTGTTACATTTATATGCCCCCTGACTTCCACTTGCAAGGAATGTGCTGGGACTTAATGCTCCTCCTCCTCTCCATTTTAACTTCCAAACAAGAACCCTGTGGAGTAGGCTAGCTTGCATGTCTGTGAGTGGTCCACAGTTACCCAGAGAGCTTCATGGCCGACTGGAGACCAGGACCCGGAACACCACACTGGCTGCAGTGATGTAATTGAAGCCGACCTTGGGAAAGCACCAGGCTGGATTGGAGAGACCTTTGATCTGATCCAGCAAAGGAGTTCCAGAGATTTTACGTAAACGTCCCAGCCTTCAAGGTTATTAGACTATTAGGCAACTGTGAGTACTTCCAGACAGAAGAATGTGGCAAAAGCACTCAAAGGCATCATGGGGCTATTTCATCCATTTTTCCTTAACTTTCCTTAATGCTCCAGGTAAGAAACTGTTGGGAGTATGTGATGAACAGAAGGAATCGCAACCTGGACCTCCCGTAGCTCCCATAACGGATGCTGTCCCTTGCACAGCATCTCTCAACCCACAATGGGTCGCACCACTGGAACTGCTCCTTACTGGGAGGGTCGGGGGTGGTTTAGGGCAAAGAGAAGTAAAACAAGGGAAGTGCAAGAAGATTAACAGATGCAAAGGAGGACAGTTTTTGTCTTTATGTTGAATGTACAAGAAACTGTACAGGGAAATTATCACTGTTCTGCACAATTATAAAAGACAACTGGGATCTGAGATGAAACGTTGCAGGGCAGAGAGGTGTTCATGAGCTTTCCTGGCACTCCATTCCTCCTCTGTTTTGCTTCCCATAGTCAGTCGGCTTTCCGTGGCCACTAACAAGGCTCAGTCCACATTAGGCTGGGGTTTTTTGGGAGTGGGGGGGAGCCCTCAATTTAGTTTCCCTGCTTTGTACTTCTGCAAACCAGGGGCTCCCCTGAGCCTGCTGGTTCTTTGTGCATGGGTGACACTGTTTCGGCTAAATAAACAATGGCTTCCACACCCGAACACCAGAAATAGAGGGGAATTCTTTGCGTTAGGTCAGCCTACGCAGAGAACGTAAGAGCAGCCATCCTGGATTGGATCAAAGGTTCACCTACTTCAGTATTTTCTTTAGAGTGGCCAACTGGGTGTCCACAAGAAACTCTCAAGCATGCGTTTCACAATACCCTCTAGTCCACAATCCCCAGCAACTGATGTAAAGATGAAAGCCCCAACTTGTTTGGAGCCAGAACAGATAAAGTCCCATCTCCGTGTGGCTGATGCGGTGGGCCAAAATCCAATCCATCAATCAATCTTCTTCCATATGGATTGTCTCATCCTGAAGACAAAGCATCAGAGACGCTCCACCTTTCCCCCTTATCAAAGGTGGTCTTCGGGGAAGCGACAAGGCTATGTCCTTTTGGGAGAGATCTGCCTGGCCCTCACCTTCGCTGGCCTTTGGGTTGGCTGTGAAGACGCCTTTTATAAATTCAAGCAGGCTCCCTTCTGATCTTTATTTGCCATTCTGCTTCTTCCTGAGTATTTTCTTTTTCTGCATCCATGCTGCCTATGTTTAGTTACAGAACAGATGCGCTCAGCACCCCGAGTTCTGCAGACAAAGGGCTGTGAAAGGAACACTGTTGAAGGGGCCAGTGAAGTCCCGGCAGCTACGCAGGGTCTCCCTTTCTCTGGGCAGGAGAAGGATGCTGCGATGTGGAGATTGTCAGTTGGGAGGAGAGGCAGGCAGTGATCACCCCCTCTGCTCCTCCTGCTTTGCTTTGCACAGGATGTCCCTAAACCTCCGGGTTCTGGAGCTTGTGGGCGCTGCGACAAGATCGTGCTCGAAAGGGTGCACAGATTGATGCAAAATTGCCTGTGGCGCAGACCAGATGTGGGAAGCATTTGGCTTTCCAGATGTTAACTTATTTTCATATTTATATGCCGCTCAATAGTCCAAGAGGACTCTCTAAGCAAAGATCTTCTTGTACTTGAATTCAGTCCCAGCCTCTGGCATAAACATTCCTTGCATCATCTCTGGGGTGGCAGGTGCTTCCACTGACCCATGAAAGGAGCATGGAAGAAACCTGTCTGCACTCTCAGAAATAATTCGCCTTGTTTCACTGTTACCAATATAACTCTGGGTGCAGAAGGCAAGCAGGCTGCATAGCCCAAGATTTTGGATTATGTTCCTAGGCTGGATAAAGTTTTTGCATAATTACAAACCAATGTGTTTTAACAGTTACAGAAACCTTGAGCTGAGTAAGAACGAAGTTCAACCTTCTAAGGAAAACACCTTTTAAATACAATAATTTCTGATAACTTTATAATCTATTGCAGGCAATTATATGGCTGAACAATGGAATAAATAATTGCTTAATAAAATCTGGCAATATGCACAAACTGTAGTCATTATCTGCCTGGAAAAAACATGTACAACTCATTTACAAAGAAGATGCCAGCTCTGCATAACAGTCACCAAATTAAGCTGGTATCTTAAGTTATCGTGAAAGTTTAAAGTCCGCTGTGAACGGCACACCAAGATATATCAGTATAATAAAAATACCTCACCTGCCTCTCACTTAGGGTGCGCTATTTTCATTGTCTGGAAGGACATTGACCAGCCGATGGACTTGTTTTCCCGAGCAAAGTGTGCCATCCCATCAGGGTGTTGCCGTTTGGGCCACTCGCCTTGGTTTTGCTTTCTTACATGTTTGTTCATGCACATTTAAGGCTGCTGGTGCTACATTTACACCCTCATCGTGTTGCAAGACAGTCTCAAAGCAGCTTAAAATATAACCCCACAACAATAAAAGTATTTTTTAAAAACATACAAAAATAGTGAAGACCATACCGTAAAGAGGGTGGCAAACGTAGCCTCAGATCAGCCATCACCAAAACAGCTGAAAGGCATTCTCAAGGAGATCCAGCTGCAACCAAAAGCCATTAACAGCATGAAAGACGGGAGTAGACTTCACCAGGCTCCAAAAAGATAACAAAGGTAACACTAGGTTCCTATTGTCTCACAGTCTTGGAGAATGTCAACAAGTATGTGGTCAGGAATTAATTGGATACAAGCTTGCTAATGTTTGGAAGAGAGGGAGGGAGTCTAGTGGTACGTTAGGGTCAAAGCACAAACACCTTTGTGCATATTATATTCTCTGAGCAGGTATGCACACAACCATGACTTGCAAGGGGTAAGGCGACCTTCCTTGTAAGGGATGCTTCCTGGAAAGTGGGTACCTAAAGCATTCTCAGTATCACAAGTAGACAACCTGGTCCCAACCACCATGGCCAGTGGTCAAGGGATTACAGAAGATGTACTTCAAAATATCTGGATTGGCACCAGGTTGGGAAGGCAGCTGTATATATTTACTGGCTTAGCTCTAACAAGTGTGCACCAATGTAAAAAAACAAGAACCAACTTTACAGATGTTACATCTACATTTTTACTACTAAATTGAGACAAATGTCACACACACACACACACATGCACAGAGCAATCTTACACAGATTCAGATCAATTGACCATCTAGTCCAGTAGCGTCTTTCCCGAGGGTTGGTCACTAATTGCACTCCAGACCATGCTGGCCCAGCCCTTTGGCCTGTCTGGGGGGAAGAGTAAGTCCGTTCCCCTCCCATTCTGTGCGGAAAAGCCAACTGGACTGGCAGATGTCTTTGCACGGATCGCGCAGCATCCATCTGCCAGAGCACCCAAACCCAGCAGGACGCCATGGCAGGCACAGGGCAGGCTGTGGGGCAAAGAGGCCCCTCCTGCAACCCTTTGCTGCCACCTCCCAGCTCTGGCTGCCCTGCCAGTCAGGGGTGGCTTTTTGGCACTATCCAGTGGAAAGACTGCCGGGGGGGGGGGGGGGACGGCCTCTTCCTGGTCTCTTCTGATGGGCAGGGGCTTTCTAGGAGTGTGAGAGGTCCTCCAAGTCATCTGCTCCCTTTCAGGTGATGTGAAAGCCCTCTCATCTTTCTGCTGGAAATCGGGGACCTTTTGTAAGTAAAGCAACTGCTTTACCACTGAGATCATTCTCTTAATCCTGACCTTTATTCATAGCCTGATCTGCATCGTCCTATCTCATCAAAGAAAAATACTAGCAGATTACTTAATACCGACGCTTAAAGAAAAATACTAGCAGATTACTTAATACCGACGCTTTCCCCACCAGCCACACTGGAGGATGATGAACAGCATAGACATCAGAGGTAATAGAAGGAAATGTTTAAGCATCAGGTATCAGTGGAGAAAGGCAAATTTGTTGGTGCATCAGAGTTGTCAGTCTGTTTGAGGTTCAGAGGAGTTTGGAATGGGTTTGCTAATTAGGCATTCTCCCTCCCCCCATGTAATGCAAATACCAGTCATCTCCACCTTTTAATCTAGGAGAGTTCTTAATTATGCATCAGAGAAAAGAGAACCCTGCTGTTCTCTTGCCTTGCTAATTGGTACTATTTCCCCTCATTTGTCATTGATGGTTTCACAGAAAAATAAAGGAGTTTCTAATTTACTTTCTTCAGACAAATAAATGTAAAGCCTCAGTGTATTTGTTTGCAGGTGTTTGGGGTGGGAACCTTCTTCTGTTGTGACTTCTAGAGGTAGATAGATGTTTTCCTCTTAAACATCCAAACCAAGACAATAAAAGCTCTGTGACACCTACCAATCATCAAACCTGTCTACCACTTGTGCCTTTCCCCCTTTATTGTCTTTCCCCAAGGGAAGACTTAATCAGGATCAGTTTGTTCAAACCCCAGAATTCTGTGCTTAGATATTGATCCTATGGCCTCCAAACAGTCTCCAGGAGGCCACAGGATTCTTCAGAGTCCCAGATCCAAAGTAAGAAAACAGCACCAGCCTCACAGCTGGGGATCTGTGCTCAGAACCAACTCCTCTCCCTCGAAGCCCATGAGAACAGACCTATACTGCCTGCTAAAAGCTACTTCAGAGAAGGGGTAAAGGGGGCATCCAGGGAGACCAGAGCCACCAGATAGGACATGTCCAGGTGGCACTCCAGCCACCTCACCTTCAGTAGTCTAGCTGTAATTGGCCATCTAGCTGATGTACAGGGCAGGTGTGGGAAGGAGAAGATCGCCTCTGCACCCCTTGCCATCAGCATAAGATACTCATAATCCGGAGTTCAGAGGCCTTCCTGCTGGATTGTACCTGTAACCAATTTAATTACCCTTCTTTGACTGGGCACCAAGCTAGCTAGGAATGATAGTGCTGAAGCCCCAGGACGCTTTGGGGGGCTGGTAGAAATGCCTACAAAAATGATAGCAAGCACCATCTCAAAACATACACCATGGAGAAAAAACATAATAATGTAAGAACTAGTCCAACATTCTGCCAACACACTTGCTAGTGTAGTGCAACAGGCAGTGATGTGTGAGGAATTTGCAGGATGGATTGGATTTTCTTGGCTTGGGTCCCCAGTTTTTGACATCTGCAAAAGTTAAAGGTTCCACCCACCAATTACCAATAAAAAATGATATGCAAAACTATCCAGACTGGATCTAAGTAACAAATGAAGCCATGAGGAGAACAGCCTTGTTAATTTCACGAATAAAAGATTCCCTCCACTTGCACAAAAAACACCCCAGTTCTGGAAAGTACGCATTTAATGCAATCATATTATATAGCACTTTAAAAATAGAAACATAGAAACAGAGCAAGTCGGAAGGGTCCTCCTGGGCCATCTAGTCTGACACCTTATACGTATGAAGAATTTGCCTATATTGTCAGTACTTCTTACAACAGCCTAGTAAAGTAGGTCAGTATTATTTATTTATTTAAAACTTTTATATCCCGTCACCACATGCCTTGGCATTATTACCCCCTCCCTCTCTATTGTGAACTGGAATAATACTGCAGCTAGTCTGGTCATTGCAAGAGAGATTATTTGCACCGGGGACCTTCCTTGATCACGGCTCTGTCTCTTACACACCACAAACAAGAGCACTTCCTGCTGCTGGTTCTGTAGATTCCCCTCAAATATATTTTGATCCCAGCTCTGGCATTTTGAAATGTTCTTAATTAAACAGGGCCAGTTGTTTAATAACTATATTCTTTTGGCTGGAAACTCTTAAGAACTTTCCTGCCTGTTAAGTTCTTGGCTACACATTTAAATAAAACACCATCTGTTAGGGGACTTGTGCTTTATCTCAAGAGCTTCCCATTCTCCTTGCAAATTGGGAAAATGCCTTTTATGGCCCATCCCATCCTGGGAATTTACTCTTCCCTTTTGACACTGCAGCCTTCGGCAAGCTTAAGAAAGCGCAGCACTTTCTCCTTGCAGAGAAGGCCCTTCAGTGTTCCAAATACTTACAGATGAAGCAGCTTTCATGACCAAGAGATGGATTTTTCTGAGTCTGCGATATGCGAGCAAGCAAAGGGCAGAGGTTCCAACCTGCGGCACCTTTACAGCCTGAAGCAGTTCGAAGGATCAGGTAGCAAGTGAACGAGAAAAACATGGTATGAGCCCCATCCCATATCGGCAGACCCAACTGCATGGGCCTTTGCCATTTCCCCTGCAAGCAAGACATTTATAGTGGCCCTGCCCAAAGGCTCAGATGGGCATGAACCAGAAAGCAGGTGCAGAGGCTGGCAAAGAAGCTGAGTGGCCTCTGCCTGGTCTTTGCTGCAGGACTCACCTCAGTCCTGAACGTTTCTCGTTTTTTCTTAGCACTAGCAGCACATCCGAAGGATTGTGTTGATCAGAGGAAATAAAATGGGGTGACCCTTTAGAGCTAATGGACGGATTAAGAAGTGACAAGTTGCTTGGCCCAGATGCCGTTCATCCAAGCATTCTTAAATGTAAAACTGCTCAGCTATTAACTGGAATATGTAACTCGGTTCTGAAATCAGCTCCTTACTGATTGATCAGAAGATGTCCAAGGTAACATGTCTTTTAAAGATGACCCAGGAAATTACAGACCTGTTGACCTAATTGCTGTATAAGCTAAAATTGGTTAAAAGTTCTCAAAGCCAGAACTGTTCAGCACCTGGGCTTTTGCAAAAGAATCTTGGCTCATTAAAGAATGATTTTGGAGCTTTCAACAGACAGGTAGATACCAGTGACATTGCTGAAGGAATGTGACAAAGCCCTTCAATCAGCAGTTTCTGAGAAACATGGCCGTTATTGGACAAAAAGATTAGTGACCCACCCTTAGTGGGTCACTAATGGGTGGGTGGGTCACTAATGAGCTGAACAGCAGGGAGCAGAGAGGGGAACAAAATTTGAGTTCTCTTAATGAAGGGCAGGTAAATAGCTAGCTTCCATGACGTGCTTCGCCTTATAGTATGCTTTCCACCATAGACATGCTCTGTGTTCCCAGCTATTGTGCTGGAAACAAGGCCCACATGAAGCTGTTGAGTGGGCAAAGGAGAGCACAATTCTGCTGGGAAACAAGGCATGTGAGCCCCAGCCCACCAAACGGCTTCCTGCAGGCTGTTTCCGAGTTTCTGGTTGTGATAATGGCTGCTATCGGAAATCGTGTAGCCACCAGAGGGTTATCAGGATCCAGTGCAGCCTTGCATCCTTCTGAAGCTATCCATCTCCGTTCTAGGGAGAGGATGTTATCACCCCACTAGCTAAAATTCTGTGAATGAGACAGTACTATTGCCCAATGGGAGCTGGAAGCAGCCACAATTTCTTTTTCATTATGAACTTCTTTCCTTTAACCTGTAAAGTGTTACGTACATGGATGCTGATCTAGACATAATCATCAACTGTGGTACGAGAAAGCTAAGTCACATGGGTCTTTTCTGAGTCATTTTATTAGAAGATCATTAATGTCGGTGTGGGGAAAGCTAAAGTTAACAATGTGTAATAAACTACCAAGATGGCTTTCACCTATGGAAGCTTTCGTATATCCAAATGTATTGAACTTTGAAGGGATTATAAGATATGACGATATTTTGGATAAGGACGGTGGTCTGAAACTAGATCAAGAAATACAAGAACAGAGACTTAATATCTCCTGGTGGTATAAGGTGCAGATGCCATCAAGATATGCTGAAGATCACAAAGCACGGAGGTTTTACAAAGATTTAACAGTATTTGATCAAGTGATGCTTAAAACAGATGAGAAAATGATTAAAAGATTATATGATTTTTTACTTGACAGGAAAATGGAAGGGGAACAGGTTAAGGAAACTATGATAACACGGGCACAAAACTTCGGATATAATGTCGAACTAGAAAAGTGGCAAAAACTATGGGAGAGAAATATTAAGGTAACATTAGCAACTTCATATAAAGAAAATTTATATAAAATGTTCTATAGATGGTATTTGTTGCCAAGTCGATTAACTAAGATGTTTCCAAATATGTCAAATAGGTGTTGGAAATGTAAACATAAAGTGGGTACTTTTTATCATATGTGGTGGACTTGTGATAATGCAAAAAAGTATTGGATTAAAATACATAAATGGCTGGAGGAAATACTACAAAAACCCTTTGCTTTTAAACCCGAAGTTCTCTTGTTAGGCATCATACCAGAAGACATTAACAGACAGGAAATGTATTTGATGCTACACTTAATCACAGCGGCGAGGATTGCATTTGCTCAATGTTGGAAAAGTGAGGAGCTGCCCACCGATGAATTGATTTTAAGGAAGATCTTGGACTGCACAGAAATGGATAGATTGACTTTATCATTGAAGGAGAAAGAAGACACTGTCTTCTATCAAACTTGGGATTTTTTAAATAATTGGCTGGAGAAACGAGACTTGGCATAAATTTAGAGATGTTTTCAAGTTATTATAAACTGATTTAAATATGACTATAGAATGTTAAAAAATATGTAGTAAGCGGTTGACCCAATAAATCCGACGTATGTAATGATTAATGTTTTTAGTATTAGTTTAAAAAATAATTTAAACTAATTTATAGACATAATAATCAACGAATCCGATATCCCATTCCCCAAGAATGGATCTTTAGGTAATCAAAATGGTATGACCCATGCACAAGAGGGAAGTGCCAACAGGGTTGACGGACCCCCAAAAGCATTTGAGGAGGAAAAAACCAACGTAATGTGGGGGAACACCTGAAACAGCCCAGCAAGGACCAAGCATCCTCAGCGGCCACAGAATGCTTGGTATTTCTTGGAGAACGGAATGCAGTATCCTGAAAGGAGTGGCTAGCTGGAACCCTGAACCGGAGCAGACCACACTGGGCCATTCCACAGTTATGTTCCACTCACCTACAGATGCTTATCTGAAAAGATGCAAAACACCAGCCTTTCCGGCCAGAGCTTCTGATGACTCAATAACAGAGAACAGAAGCAGTTAAACAGCCTCCTCATGGTTTGAGAAGCTGGAACAGAAAGTCTGAGTACAGGGTGTGCTATATGTGTGTGCACATCAAACAAGCACCTGATTTTTGTTTTTTTGCAAACCATGTTTGGAACCATTATATAGTAGTACAGTAAATAAAATTATCTGACTGGAAAATGAGACTGCTTTGGATTGTGAGGTAACTGCTGGTGTGTAGCTGATTAATCTGTCAGTGATGCAGCCTCAAAAGCTGTCAAGTGGGGTGGGGGGGAGGCTACTTTCTTTCACAAGCTACTGGAGGCCTTCCAGAAGAAATATCCTTTCTAATAATTGTTTGTATAATTAAGTTATTTTGTAGCTTAAGCTGTAATGAAGACACAAGTAGTCACTCTTCATGATGCATCTTTGATGCCAGTAACGTCAGAGACTCTTGAGATTTTAGTCTAATTAACTACTTGAACAAATCAGTGCTTTAACTAGATATAGTGCACTTTTGCTAGGATGCTCATATGTTTGTACTGATTTTGGTTCAATTGATTTTGGCCCACCAGAGATTCCAGGGTGTATTACATGTCCTTAGTGTTCAGTGTTCTCTCTGGGAACAGGATCTGAGAAGGATAACTTACGATTTCCTCTCCTTTAAAACAAGACAATATTTTATTGTTATAAAATGCTTGGAAAAGTACACAAAGAAGCAAAACCTAGATGATACATAAGACAATATTTATAAAAAGATTTATCCAAGGGTTCATTCAGCAACCAGAGGGGAGGGGAGGGGAGTGTGGGACAGCAGTGTTTGGTATTTACATCAACTTCTATAGCCTGAAATACACAAAAGACTGATATGGATAGTAACATGTCTAAATATACTTGAGGCGTGTCAAGCCCCTATTGTATTCTTCCGAGGAAGGTGCCATCATCTAGCTGAAGAGCCAAATGAAACCTAGGGCATTATTTGGTTACTACACAGCAGCACTCACAATTTACAGCCATTAGGTCTGCAATCATAAACACACTTGTATTTCCACCTGAACTCATTGAGGCTTACTTCTGAGTAGGCATACATGGGATTATGCTGCAGATGTTGCAAACAACGGGCACAATCAATATCCAAGTAACATGGAGATATTCTGATAATTATATAATTTGTACATCAAGGATTTTGGAGATAAAACAGTTGAGGCCATGTCAATCTATTTGTGGACTAATTATTATTGTAAAAGCTCTCAGCTGTAAATAGTCCACAGAAGAGGATGGCAGCCTTTCATGGAAAAATGGGTTGCTATGTTAAATTATTTTGTCTAAATAAAAGGAAATCCAGAACTTGGTCAAAAATGTGTGTGCAACTCTCTGGGCTTGTTCACATGTAATGCCAATGATGCCACCAGCTTCAAGGGACCAATCTTGTTTTAGGCTGAAGGAAAGCTTAAATAAAATGCAATAGCAATCTGTAGTTTGTGCTAGAAAAAAGTAATTAATTGAATCAACATGCAAGGGAAAGAGACCACATATGAGTACAAGGCTTGTCCATACATCTCATCATGGTTTGGAATTAAACATGTAAAAATTACATATACCGTATTTTTCGCTCTCTAAGACGCACTTTTTCCCCCCTCAAAAGGGGAAATGTCTGTGCGTCTTATAGAGCAAATGTGTGTGTGCCCGACACCCAGGACGCTGCCGGCCCACCTGCACCACGTGGCACCACCTGGCCGGCACGCGCTTGGTGCGCGCTGCTCCGCCCCCCCCCCTCCAGCGCAGGTGAGAGCTGTGCCGCTCAGGGGGAGGCGTGCGGAGGAGCAGCCGCAGGCTTTAACCCACCGGCCACATGGAGAGACGGACTGCTCACCCCCACCGCCTGGGAAGACCTGCCGCCACCACGCTGCCCGGAAGACCACCACTGGCACGCTGCCGGCCCCACGTGGCACCACCTGGCTGGCACGCGCTCGGTGTGCCCTGCTCCGCCCCCCTCCTCCGGCGCAGGTGAGAGCTGTTAATCACAGGTCGGTGTGTGTTTTCAAATGGCAACCCGTCTTTTAATGAAGACCATGGGGAAGTGATGGGGAATGTGCCTGTGATTATCAGGAAGCGTTCTATGGATCCCTCCTCTAAAAACTAGGTGCGTCTTATGGTCAGGTGTGTCTTATAGAGCGAAAAATACAGTAATTATTGATAGTTCCCTATTTACAATCTGTGCTTAGAAACAGGCAGGTGGACTAAAAGCTACTGGGAAACTGTACTCATTCAGTTTGCATAAATTGAATCTTTTATAAGGTTAGCTCACAGCCAGTGCCCCTTGGATCATACATAGATCTGATTAAGTGCTGAAAAAGAACCTTTTGAAATGACTGCTTTCTGAAGGGAAAGCTAGTATGCAGCACTTGCTTATGTTTATGGAAAGGTCAAACATCTCCCCGTGCAAAAAAAAAAAAAAAAAAAAAGTTGCATAGCTGTGTTGGTGATTTAAAAGGGAAAGGGGAACAAGGAAACCAGCTATTGTGTACCACACTTGATTAAGACCAACTGAAACATTTCAATGGTAAAATATCCTCTTCCTTTTATTCTAGGATTCCGCTGTTGAATAGTGCTGCCACTGCTTTTGGTTGGCATAGCCTCACACCTGTTTGTATGCAAAATAATCCGGTTTGCACATAGCAACAACCCCTCAGTTTAGGAACTGCTGGTTTATTGTGCACAAATGAATGCGTTGCCTGCCGCATGCTTGCCTCTTTTGCTCTACCACACAATCCACAGTCAACTCCTTTACAGGTTGTAGAAACCAAGTTCATTAAGCTGTTTCAAGAACTCAGCAGTTTAACGTCTTCTGCACAACAGCCCAGTAATTTTTAAACAGATTTGCTGTTGTCACATGCAAAACGGATGTGCAACCCTGGAGCTGCGGATGTGCAACCCTGGAGCTGTGGGTTAACTGGGTGGTTAACTAGAAAGAACACATGAAGAACATAATGGTTTACTGTTGGGTTGTGAACTCTGGGCTGCTTAAACCCAGTTAGTTATTACAAGCAATGATTTATTACATATTGATTGTTTATGGGCTGTTTTGCCAGACTACAGATGTGGAAGGCAAAATGAAAAAAATCCCATAGTTGCTCAGCACACAACACTACAGTACACCAAAGGCATTTGAGATACTGTGGGGGGGGGGCAGGTAAAGGGGGTAGGTATAAGAGAATTCAGTAACTGGCAAAACAATCTACAGTTGTTTCAGTCACCTGGGAAACAAATCATGGGTTAATTCTATGTTCAGCAAATAGTTGTATGATAATCAGGTCATTTTATATAGAAAGTTCAAACTTTGATTTGTCCAATATTAGTGACCTGGTTAACCGGCTCAGTATAACAGAGCTGCCTTATTAGGGTTTTTTAAAACCCATGATGAGCCATGGTGTGTGCAAGATTTCGACCTGCGAGTTGGAGTGTGAACCTAGCCACTGAGGGTTATTTGCTGTACGGGCACACACGAGATTTCTTTATCGCTGGTGGCCAGGCTCACGTGGCATTGCATCCCTCACCTGGGGCTGCATATCCAAAATGTTACCCAGCACAGTCCATTTTGAGTATGTTGTGCGAGCCAGTTTATTGTTTAGTGGCCTGCTGGTTTGTGAAAGACACAAGCTTTTAAAGCAGCTTCCTCATTCCTGATGACCTCCAGATGGGTTGGACCACAGTTCCTCTTATGCCTACACTGGCTGACAATGTCAAATGTGGCACCAGGTTGGAGAAGGCTCCTGCAAAATAGCTGGATGAAGTGCAGCCCTCATAAATAGGTTCTAAATAATTCCTGTGCTTTTCTAGTATAATCTTCTGAAGCAAAATTGCCAAGCAGCCTCTTATTCTCAGGAGGGTGGCTTGTACAGGAAATTAACAATTTATTGAGGCAAAACTCATGGTTTGACCTTTCTGCCTCTCTCAGGAGTCCAGCAACATCAGCTGCCTCTACCAACTGAAATAAGAACTGGGTGCCTCCAAATTGTCTCGTTCTTTATCATGAGAAACAGGAGAAGCTGCCAGCCAATGGTTCATCCAGCCTCCTCTCCCTAAGGATGGCTCTCCAGGCAGGAGGTTTTTCTGCCCTACCTGACAATGCTGGTGATTAAATCTGGGATCTCCTGCTTGTGAAGATGTGCTCTACCCACTGAGCAATGGCTTCTCCCCAGTAATTCCCTTTCCTCCTCTTCGATGTATTTGCTACCTTACAGACTACCCAAACTCCTAATGATGTTGTATACATATGGAACAGACCCCAGGATCTGTCAATATATTATGTTCTTCTATATACACTGTTGTATCTGTGCAAAGTAACTTTGCAAAATTCATCAAAGTTGTGTACCTACACTTCTAGTCAACTTGACAAAAAATTCACAAAAATCTTAATAGACTTTGTCTCCAAAAATATTAAAAGAACTGGATACAGCTGGGAAAGGTGGTACTTAATCTTCTCCTTACACTGCTTCAGTGTAGCCTTCTGAGGCTGCTTCATTCTCCCTGCTGCATTCATGGGTTCCAAACATCTGCAAGAATAGACATTCCCCTTTCCAACTCCTGCCTCAACTAGGTTTCCTTTCTCAGTTTTATTATATAAGATACGGTTTGCATTAACACATAAATACCAGATCTTTCTAATATATGAAAATGGCTCATTACTAAGATAGACTGATACTCCTGTTCTTATTGCTTCTTTGCTCCAAAGGGGATTTTTCTCCTCCTTCCTATGTAATGTTTATTTAGTCTAAATAACCTGAAAATACAGCTTTGTGTAATTCAGGTAGAACCCAATAAGAGCCCATTAGCTACAGTAACAAGCCACCCTGCCCAAACCCCCTTGCCACAATAAGCAGCAGTGACTGCCCTCAAGGGCCTGAATATTTACCATGGGGGCTGGCACCCATGCTACGAAGCAGCTACTTAGCAACTGTTTAAACAACAGTGGATTGATAAAATTTGGAAGCCAATGATGCTGTATGTACTCAGCAAATGCAGTAAGCAAAGAATTCCAGTTTTTAAAAATATGTTATGATACCTTGTTATCTCCTGCATGGAGACCACATTCAGAGCAAATATGGGTGCAAATGTTTATTTCTGACTGTGATTAAGTTATATAACATTCAGGCTCTCACTTGTCACTAATTCTATCCATCAAGGCTGGTTTACTTTGGCTGTCTCACAAATGCATCCATGATATACTAAGGACTGTGACTACTGGGGCTCATGTCTTAGTATTTTCCTCTTTTTCTCTTAACTACTTATCTTGCATTGTTGCATTCTTTTTTATCACCTGTATTTTATGCTGTGAGCCGCCCCGAGGCTTCAGCGCATGGGGCAGCATAGAAGCTGGCTAAATAAATAAAATTTTCAACTTATTTTCAAAGCATAATATGTGAAATAGAGAAAAAGAAATTAACTAAGTGTGCATTTCTGTGCAAGTTTAGTCAGAAGGATGTTGTTTTTCTGTCTACACTTCCACAGGACCGTACCCCAAATCCCCACCCCCTCTCCAGCCGAATGCTGTAGAGCCACACAATGTTAGAAATGCTGTTAAGCTTTTTGATAAAAGATTAGGTGTTATATGGGTGAGTCACTTGCTTTTTCCTTTTGTCCCTACTTCGTAAAAGCAAGCTAAATCAGCCCAATCCAGCAATTACAGCCTCCAACTCTACAGTGCTTTAATAAATTCTGTAATCAGCACATATGTTCTATAGCTGCAGCTGTGGCTGCACCACAGTTTTCTCTGGGTTGAATAACTAGATGGATTGTTGACAACAGGGAGGAATTTAAAGCTCAAAAACTCTAAACAGTGTAGTTTAGAGAGAGGATAAATTTCATGAGCTTGTTGCTATATGTTAGCCAGAATGCAAAGCACTGTGTTTTAAAATACTACATTTTCTTAGTAAAAAACTGAAGTTCCCTGGTGAAAATAAATTATGCAAATTTTAAAACTATTTTTAAAGAATATTGAGAGGGTTCAAAAAACAGTATCTGCAAATAATTACATCAGAATTCTGCCAGGAAGAGACTGCCATGAATTACAGTTGTATAATTCACCTGAATAAAATCTAGAATACACAGAGGAATGGGGCTAATTGCTCTAAAGAGATCAGTAGAGGTAGTACAGCAACAGTAGTATAAAAATAGTGATGATGGTGTAATCATGCTACTTCAAGTATCTTCTACAAGTAGTGCAAAAAACGCTGTTACCGTCCCTCCAAAGTGGTACCTTTTTGTTTACTTGCATTTATGTGCTTTTGAACTGCAAGGTTGGCAGGAGCTGGGACAGAGTACCAGAGCACAACCCCTCTGCGGAACTGACCTGTCGACCTTTTGATCAACCAGCCCAGCGGCTCAGCAGTTTAACCCACTGTGCCACCACATCCCTACTTTTCCCCACTTTCTCTAAAGTAATGAAACCATGACCAGTAATACAATCCTAAACATACTGAACCCAGAAGTAAGTCCCACTGTGTTCCATTAGGCTTATTCCCAGGTAATAAAACTGTGGCCGGGAAGAATAAGCCACCAGCAAACATCAAGTGAGGTAGAGAGTCAAGTTTATGCTAAAGTAAGATCAGTCCCTTCTTGATTAGAAGTTCCACTCCATTCACTTCGCATTTCTCAGCCACTAGCACAAGCTCCCCGTGCATTTTCAGTATTTCTGCTGTTATCCTAAGGGTTAGGAACATTCCTTCTGAAACAAATACTAAGATTCCCTGGGCTGTGAAAAACCTGTGGTCATATTCTGCATTGAACTTCTTTCAGACCCAAGAGGGAGAAATATCTGTGTCTTTAACATACAGGTTCCTCTTGATTCTCAGTTTTAGAAGGCAAGAACAGCTCCACATCACAGTAGCTAAAACTGTACCCACCCAGCAGGTCTCTCTGAGAAATGTCAGCTAAATGTGATTCATGAGTTTTGACAGGACTATGCGTGCTCCTCTTCTCCAGAGATTTATGCAAGAGTTCTTTCATCCTCCTGTTTTCTTTGGTGGTTGATTCCCAAATTATTTCAAGTTCACTTTCCATTTCCCTGTGGATCGAAAAAATGTATTTACTGGTTTTGGATGCATCATTCCCATATTTTCACAAGTACCTTTAAGTTGAACAGTCAGTGTAGGCAGAACAATTAGATTTAGTTTAGCATCTAGAGTTATGTTTAAAAAACACCATGCGCTCTGAGCAGTGGCAGTATTCAGAGTATCTCTCACTGAAAGTTCAATCACATGTATCCATTTAAGCAGCCTTTAATCTGTGCTTAGCATTAGACAGAGCTCCCCAGTTCCCCTGCAGCTTGTTGATAACACTAAAGATCAAAAGACAAGTAATACAAAGAATTTTCTGCCTAACTCCAATTAATTTCAAGGGACTTGCATGATGGTAGGTTTGATTTGCAGTACATAGCATGACTACCCATTGTTTAACAACAAAATGACTCCCCTTCAAATGCAGAATGTGTGGAGTAACCAGAAGTGGATTTTTCTGTGAAAGGAAGCTGAACTCCATTCAGCCAAGGTACTCAACACACATTAACTGGGCTCAGCATTCTTTAATTCTAAGTGTATTTCTTTCACTCTGGGCTTCAGGGTTCTTATTAAAAAATACCTGCTTAAAATATATACCAAAAGGCATTACAAAATCAGCATTTGTATTTTCAACCTCTTTCTTAATAAAGCATAGAATTCGCCCCTTTTCAATAGCAGCTATCCTGGACTGTTCTTATAACCATAGGAATTTCTCATCCTACACTGGATATTTATTTTTATCTATAACTGGATAAACTCGAAGGAATTTGGAACCATGCTTCCAGCTGGAAACAGACAACATCCACAGGGGTAACTTGTAGTATGTTTCTGAAAACGTCTTTCACACTTTGTACTGAAAGTTTTCCTGAGAAAAATATAGCAGGCATTATGAATGTGAGATTAGGAGGTCAAAAACAACTAGGCAAAAAATTCTTGTTTGCTGTGAACATTTTTAAGATCACACATCATAGTCTTAAGACCAAAGCAGGTCAGAAATAGCACAGCACATAATTTCTAGAAGAAGGTTTGGCAATATGGCACCTCCGGGGGCACTAGCACCCGCCAAGACCCTTTGCACTCCCTCCCCTCACTCTGCTCGCACAAGCTTTGCCTCTTCCCTGCCCTTGACTGTCATTAGTTGTAGCTTCTGCCTGCTGTACTGGCTGCCCAGTGTCACTTCCTCATCCTTTCCCCAAGCAGCAACCAGCCAGGAAGGTTCCTTCTCTCCACACCTGCTATGTCTGGCCATGGAGCCTGCAGCTAGCAGGGGCAAAGCTTCAGAGAAAAGCAGTGTGGCTGCTACTGTTGGTGTTGCTGGGTCCAGGAAATGCACTTGCTTGGGAAGGGGAAGGGGAGGAGGAGGAGACAGTTGGTAAGAAAAGGGGAGGCTGTGTGTTGCTATTTCACCAGCAACACCAGGAATAAGCATGGCAGCGGTAAGCTGTGTGTTTACTACGGGTCCTTCCTTTACTGCTAAAATGTGTGTGTGGTGTGCATGTGAGTACGGGGGCAGGGGAGTGATGAGTGGACTGTTGTATTTCTCTGGTATGCTAAGTGTTTTGGTGTGCATGAGAGAGAGGAGGGGAGCTCTCACTCAAAATAAACCAGTGTGCCATCTTTGCACTGAGTAAGGTGGCTGTTGTTTGTAGAGTTCTGTGAATGAGCACTAGAGGCTACTCCACTTTCAGAATATGGTCACTATTCTTTCACAAGAGGACAAAAATGCTTCAATGATTGTAAACTGGTACCATTGATCTCTCCTCCTCTATTGGCTTCTGCAGTTTTTGTGAATGCATTGGATCACTGGACCTACATTTAGATGAATTATTTTACTATTATCTTACTGTCTGCAGTGAAGTTATGGTTTTCAAAACTGTCTGTCACATAAATCATTCAAAAACTTTCCTGCAAAGCAATAAAAATATTTTAGTCCCTTCCAAGCCAGTGAATGTTGCATTGCCTTGTCCCAATTCAACCTCTTGGCCATGTAGCATTCTAAGACTACTCTGTGGAATGTTTCAGCATGTTGCTGGTTTCTGAGTTTTGACAGTTATACAAGGGCTGAAGAAACAGTAGACGTAATTCAATTTTAGTATACAACTTATTTGGACACAGAATTTACTTTTTTTTTTTTTTTGAAGGGGGAGATAATGTTGCAATAATGTCACATTCGACTCTGCTTCCTATTCAATTCTTCTTCACTGGGGGCAAAACATATCGTCAATAACTGCACAAGACAGTCCGGCTGATTAACTTTATCACTTTGGACTACACATAAAGCACTGGATATGAAAATGCTCTCAAATATATCTGTGTATGTATATTTAAAAGGTTAGACAAGACAAGAGGCTTTTGTTTTATACCACAACAATTGAGTAATCTGGATACATCCTGTGAGGCTGCTGCATGCAGCCGGGCTGCAACATGCGATGGCTGCAAAGCCTGTGATGTGGAGGTTATTCCACAGAGCAAGCTACTGGGATGCATCACTAAGTGTGAGGAGGCGGCTCAAGGACAGAGCATCTCAGCAGCAGCAGCACAGTGACAAGGTAAAATAAGGTGAAGCACCCATGCAAGTTACACAGCAGAACTAAATCCTTCTCTGCCTTTTTCTAGTAAAGAACTTATATTTGTCAGGTAAATAAATCCAAAAGTAACAGTGAAAGGAAGATCTATGGAAGCAGAAAGACACTGGGGTGTGAGGCCTATCCAGTTTAATACACTGAGTGTCACATATACGACTGTCTGTCTCCTGGGCAGAAACTTTGCTTCCAGCCCTCAGGGGAGAAATTTCTTCCCTTGAAGCCAAGGCTGCAGAAGCTGACAGAGGTGAATGCAATGTTTCGTGCATAAGACCTTCAGGGACCTGACAGCACACCGTAATCCATGGGAGACAGCAACTCTGTGACACAGAGAATATGGGGTCTCAAGGAAGGAGGATGTTATTCTGAAGAACAGGAAAATAATCCCTTAGCAGGGACGTTTTCTTCAGAGGCTGAACAGATATCCTCTTGCATTAAGGATATACCTCCAGGGGACAAAAGGTTTGTGGAAGTGGGAGATTGGATCATTAGAAATATAGACAGCTGGGTCTGAGATGAGCATGAAGACCCTATGATAAATTGCCTGCCTTGCAAGAAGGGAGCAGATATGTCAGATGGACAGTGCAGGGGAGGTGTAAGAGGCTGTGGTACATGTCAGTGCAAATGACACAGGAAATGCTCATTTAGACAGCAAAGCTGAGGAGCCTCAATGCATGGACAGGGAGGGATGAGTGCGCTGGAACTGGGGAGTATTTTGGGACATGTCTGGTTTGTGTAACAGAGGCAAATTCCATTTGAACCAGAATGAAATCAGTCTTCTGACACTTACCATTGAAAAGGTGGCAGTGTAGCTTTTAAACTGAACCCTGGGCCAAAAGTGACAGGAGTGTGAAAGCCTCCGGTTTGGTTTGAAGAATCCATAGGTGACGGAGGTGAAAGCCACATGGCAAACCAGAAGGGCTGAACCTTAGGGCAGCATGGCTTCCCATTCCCAGCCACCAACTGCTGGGCCACTTTCCAGGTTTAACAGTTTTGTCCCCCACTACAAAAGGGTGAAATGCTTCTCCTAAGGTTTAATTACCAGCTTTCGCAAGATGGGCTTTTTTGCTGTCCTGTGTCAAGGACAACTGTCATATTTCAGCTGTTTTCCATATCAGTTGTTGACCTGCAAATTTAGCCTACTGACTTCAACAGGCAAAGTATTTCAAAGTACTACTGGAATGATAAAAAGAAGGCAAAGCAGGAGATCCTTGCAAATCAGGTGACACAACTTTAAAGTTGACTGGGGAACTGACTTTAATAAAATAAGCATACCATGCATATAACCTAATATATTCCAGCACATATTTTCAGACCTTGGCTATAGAATTGAAATTTTGATTTATCATCCATAACTAATTGAAATGAGTGGAATTTCTACTACTGGGAACAGTTTCCAGACTGCAAATTTTCTCTTTGAGCAATGCTGGTGGAAATGAATCTGCATCAGTATATTATTGGCCCTGCACTACTGATTCTGGTTGCCAGGCTACAGAGGATTAATGACATGAAACCCACCTGTAATTCCTCAGTTCTTCCAACAAGGGGGGGGGGGTAGAGAGATAGAGGAGAAAAAAATATCCGGAGGAATTTTTCAAAAGATATAAAGCTATCTAACTGATGTGTCACTGAATTAATAATTTTCTGTTTGGAGCTGGAAATAATATAATAGAAAATAATGTTTAGTTCTTAAAGCATTTCAAAATTTTGGGAGAGCTGTAAACAGGATTCAATCAGTACTGAAGGAGCCTGGGTAAAATCCAGCATTCAGGATATACAGTGACAACATACTAAAGCATTTTAGCTTCTTAAACAAAAATGTTAGGAAAAACAATCCATGGCCTCTTCCCAGGATGTACAAGCCATATAGTCTAGCTGTTTAATCAAACAGGCTAGGATTAGAGACAGATGTCCAGACGGCAAATTCATTTCTCTGATAGGAAGATAAATGTTATGATAACCTGTATGTACTATTTATGTCCCAGGACTGAACAACCAACTGTAAAGCACTCAGCAATTCCACTGTTGCTTAGAAAGGAACAGTGAAAATATAGAGTGCTCCTCTGCTATTGCACTTTCCCGTAATTGCATTTTTCTCTGCCACACTGGTGTTCACCCAAGTGGTAAACCGTTATTGCTTTAAAATAGTGCAAGGAAAGTCTGACATACAGTAACAGCATTCCTGATGCGAGAAGGGAAAAATCAGTAATCTGTGCATGCATGCTTTACTATCCCATTCTGTGGTTTCTTGACTCTTGCAGGAGAACCTGGTAACATCTGATGACAGTCAAAACAAAGCAAGAAGAAAACAGGACCTTGGATAGCTCCAAGCAGGTTCTGCTGGCTGGAACTCTCTCCTACTGCAATACCAGGTGGATGTTGTCTCAGCAAAGAGCTGAAGTCTTATGTAGGTTGACAGGAGCTGTAGCAGGGCTAGCTCTGCCCCTCCTGGAGGAGTTATCTGGTCTATTAAAGGACTGTCATTTAAAGGGCCCTGGTTTTGTAGCCCAAGACTTTTTGTGAAGCTAAGGAGATACAGGTTCTGCTGGGAACTCATCCTCAAAGTAAGATGACAATGGGAGGGCTCAGTCTTCTTGCCAGGAAGATCATAAAGTAATCATTGACTGTCCTACCTCAAGATTATTTTTTTTCAAACTCATAGAGTGTATTACAGTCTTTATAAAGCTTTATAAAGAAAAAGCTGGATAGAAGATATTGTTGATGAGTCTATAATAAATGAGTTACAGCTCTTGTACCCTAAGAGTTGGCACTGTTTCATTTCCTTTACCCAAACAGTTACCCACAGGCTACCATAAACAGGCAGTGTAGCTAGGGCTAAACTACAAAACTGAAGTCCAGGATCCCAGAGCCCATCCACCTTCCTTCCAATGATAATCAAGTCAGTAGCAGGTGATGAGGACATCAGGGTAGCAGAAGCAAACTCCATTTATTCTTGCTGTCTATGATTCTATGACAGGTTATGTTGTCTATGGTTCTATGACTAAACAAGCTTTAAAGACAAAACTGCACATGCTCAGAGTATTTTTCTTTGTTTAATTTGGGTGGGGAAACACTGAACATAAGGAATGCAGACACAGTTATAAAGTGTGGAATGGTGATGAAGGATGGAGAATGAAACGTTACTGGTGTGCTCCACAAATGAAGCAATATGCAGTTATCTAAAGCAACCTCCTCGCGTCTCTGCAATAAGATGATTAAATTCAGGGTTTAAAACTACAGCTGCATTACTGTATATATGTTCTACTCTAGAATGTTTTATTCAGACCAAAAGTCACTAGTGAAACTTAGTGCTCATGCAGCATGTAATTGCATAACCCTATTAGGAAGCAAGGCAAGACCTTAACTGGCAGATTCCAGATGCCACTCAGGATGCCAGAATGTGACTGAAAGCCTAGGCATAATTCACCTAGAATTCTCCTGCTGAAGTAGAATGCAGAAGAGCCACTATTACACCCTTTTAAAATAGTGTGGAAGGACACCGTTTGGATCTCCCCACCTATGCACAAATTTGTCTTTGCCTGGCTGATTCCAAGGCCATCTCAAAGCAGCCAATCTTTCTCCCAGGCACAGATGGGTATTTTGTCGATTAAGCAGACTGATGCAACTATTTCCCTCCCCCTACCATATAAAATATATCCCACATGAGAATCAAAACATTTGTCACAGTGGCAAAAGTGGCATTCATAGAGCATGACCATACTTTAAAAAGAAATCCCAGTGATCTGATTGTGCTGTTTATCCTCTAATAGGAGACCTGGCATTACTGACACAGATGGCACACAGCTTGAATTCTAGCTTCGATTATTATTTGGTTGAACTGATCCATAAAGACAATTGCTTAATTAGCAATCTCCTATGTTCCTTTAGAGCTGATAAAACAGCATTAGCAACAAGAATGCACACTCCATTAAACCCTCCCATTTCCTGAATAGGAAAAAATCACTCCTTATAGGTTATCGCAGCACTGAACCATCCTCTAGCCAAGACCTGTCCAACTGCTTATTTTGCTGTTTGTGGACAAGATGTCTGTGCAAGACATTTCTTTTTGCTAACTATTGTTAACTGATTCATTTGCCTGGTAAAAACCTGTCATTCTGGGACTTCATCAGTTCTTGCTGGAAGACATTATTAAATCAACATGCACATGGCCAGTGATTCACTTAGGAGAGAATCACTGAAAGTTCAATTCAAGTTAATGGCTTATGTGTGATTGCCTTTGTTCAGGAAGAGGCAGTATACAGCCAGGATTTATAAGGCTGGCTGTCAACACTTGCAATCAGTGGCTTCCTTCAAAGATCTGTAGGCTAGGATGTAAAAAGGACGGGGAGGGGGAGAATGGATAGAGCCAGCTGAGAGCAGGAGATTGGTATTTTCAATCCAGCAGAGAGACAGGAAAGCAAATACGGCCAGACACCAGATGGGGCTCTTGGGCAGAACACGTTATGCATCCCCCCTTTCTTTTACCATTCAAATCTAATTGGTTCGTTTAAGGCTTTGACTGACTTACCTTTTCTGCTGCAGCACTTCATCAAGGGTTTCCTGCTTCTCTTGCAGCAGCCGCTGGAGATGCTTCATTTCTCGCTGGTACTGAGCAGCTTTCCCAGCGAATTCCTTCTCCTGTTGTGTCACTTTGAGGCTGATGTCTCCAAGCTTTCCAGCAGCAGTTTTTTTATATACCTGTGAGAGTTGGAGCAGAGTCCAATTAAAAGCATTGCTAGGATTGCATACAATCTGACGGACCATACCCAGCGGAAAGATGGCTTTTTCTCACTGTGGTTTTCTTCTGAAGCCAGGGATGCCTTATTTAAAGAGCAAATCGGGTAGGTGGGAAATGACCTGATCCTCCTTCTGCATGTACTTTTCACAGTATACAGCAAAAATGTCACTGCATGAGTATATGGTGCTATATTTATGCTTCCCTTGTAGAAAGATCTATATAAACAGCCTCAAGGCCAAATAGGTTTGACTTGTCAGGAAACCAAGTCAGACTTCAAACACATGTTGCTATCTACACAGTGCAACAGTTTAGTCTTAATTATCTATGTATACATAAAGAAGATATGATACTGGGTTGTGTAAATGCTATTGATTCTTTACTCATACCACTAGAAGAAAAATAACAACTCCACTTCCTTATAACATCAATTCTCTTTTTGGTGCTTCTGACATATTAGTATATATGTATTTTTCTCTGGAATAGTGGAACATAACACTCTTCTTTCCCTGCCCTCCTTGCCCTAAAAATATATGATTTGGAAAAGCCTAACATTTCCACTGTGGTCAAATACTACCTTAAGGTTACTTCTTTGTTTAAACAACGAGTCTATCTTCTGATTGATAAAAATTGCTAAATCACTATTAAGTAAGCCTGAAAGAATTTTTTTTTAAAAAAACCATGCAAATGATTAATATTACATTAATCTCCTTTGTTCCTATATGATTAAAGGGTCTCAGCTAAGGGAAACTCGTAATTGATTTTTAATGAAAAAATTCTGTCAGTGAATGCTCATTTATTAGTTGATATCTCTGACGATTAGAACTGCATCCTTGTGTCAAGTCTACATGGACTGCAAATTTATCCAGTAGACTCAGAAAGGTACACTTCCCAAATTCATGTCTAAAACGAGCAAGAATTTAAAGGTAAAGGAGCTACCTACTGCAAGAATCAAATTGGTTGATGCTGAAGTCTTTTCTTAAAAGTTCATGTATGCTTAACCTCATAAAGATTTAATTGGACATCAATGATATGTGGTAGCCTGTCTGGATGTGCAAAGCACACCAATCTCCCCAAATTCGCGGCACTGAGACTGAACACAGGAAATTAAAAAACATAAGACAAGCCATAACAGATCAGACTAAAGGTCCCTCTAGTCCAGCATTCTGACATGCTGGCCAACTATCTGTCCGTGAGAAATCCACAAGCTGGACATGAGTGCAACAGCACTCTTCCACTCCTGTTGCTGATGAATGGCGTACCCAGGCATACTGCCTCTGACACTGGAGGTAGTATACAGTCATCTGAATGAAAATCCATTGCTAGCTTTATCTTGCATGAATTTGTCCAATCCCCTTTTAAAGCCATTCAATTGGTGGCCGTCGCTACAATTTATGTATTCCATGCACTATGTTAAAAAGTACTTCCCTATTATCTCCTACCAATCAGCTTCATGGGAAGGCCCCACTGGGTTCAAATATCATCAGTGAAGAGAAAAATGTCTTCCTATTCACTTTCCCCACACCACGCTTAATTTTGTACATCTCTATCATGTCTCTGCTTACCTCTTTCCTCAGTTAAATAATCCCATAGGGGATTTGCTCTAGTCTCTCAATCATTTTAGTTGGCCGTTTCTACTGCAATACAGTATCTTTTCTTTAGGACCCCACTGTAAAAAAAGTGCGACGTCTTGATCCATGTGGGAGAATGTTGCACTGAGTACTAAGCACTTGTCTATCAGAAGCTCCACAGCTCAGTGATAAAGCACAGGATCAGCATGCTGAAGACACAAGCTTCAACCTGTGGCATCCCCACATAAAAGGGTCAAGGACCATATTCTAGTGGTGAGTAGGGCCAAAGGCAAGAGGGGATGAGGGAAAAAATACAAACTAAATCAGTATATTTTAGTCTTAAGTTCTTCCTTAGTAACTAAACCTTAGGATATTCATTGCACCCTTTTTGGATGCAAGAAAACATACAAAAACTGGGAAACTCCTCATCAACTAGTGCTAGGGAGAAAGAGGGTGGGACCAGGGGAAGGGCATGGCTACCTGGAGAACTGCAGAGAGACAGACTGATACTCCAAGAAGGGCAGGATTTGCTGTACAGGCTGTCTATATTTTAGCACTGCAGGGATTTGGAATGTTGTACTGATCAAATTTGCATCATTTATCCAGTGAAAGTACAGTATCCCAAATACTTAAAGCTGCTCATCACTGGGCTACCTCACTGTCTATGTGACTTTTAGTACCCATGTTTTGCATGCGTAAAGTTCCAATGTCAGTATGCAGTATCACAATTCAAAATAATGTTATATACCAAACAAAAAAAAAAAAACCGTTTACAGAGAAGTTTGTATAGTTAGAAACACGTGTCAGACTTTGGACAACTGCTGCTATTGAGAGTCATAAATACTGATCTAGATGAACTAGTAGTATAACATGAACACACCAGCAGCAGCACATGGAAGGCAACAAGAAAGAAACAAGAGAAAATGTCTAAAGGAAGCACTAAAATGTAATTTAATCACTCCAACAAGTTTCATCCAAGGCTCCAAGAGAGCCAGTGTGGTGTCGTGGTTAAGAGCATGGGACTGGGACTCAGGCGATCTGGGTTCTAGTCCCCTCTCGGCCATGGAGCCAACGGGGTGACTTTGGGCCAGTCACAGACTCTCAGCCCAACCTACCTCACAGGGTTGCTGTTGTGGGGATAAGATGGAGGAGGAGGAGAGATGATGTAAGCTACCTTGAGCCCTTTGTAGGAAAAAGGCAGGATATAAATCGCAATATAAATAAATAATAAATAAATCTACACCCTCCCATCAGGGATATTGATAAAGCAAACCATCTTGGATTTCTGAGGTCAGCTGCTGGACTCTGAAGCCTAGAATCCAACAGGAAGCCAATATTAGATAAGGGCAAAAGGGTTCCTAGCATTTGGGCTACATCTGGTCAATACAGATCATTAATAATGCAGATACTAATGCTGCGCATCCCAATTCTTTCTGTGTCTGAAGAGGACTTGTAAGTTGGAGTGTACCTTGAAGTCCTCACTTCAAATCCTGGAGAACTCAGTATCAACAATGTATTCGCCTCTCACAGGAGAGGAGCTCACCTCTCGCATGCCCTCGCCTCTCGCAGGAGAGGTGAGGGCCAGGGCACGGCCGCCCACCAGCACCGGAAAGGTACAGCGGCAGGTGATTGTTGTTGGGGACTCCCTGCTGAGGGGCACTGAGCCGGTGGTGTACCACCCCAACCTGGAGACAAGGGAGGTTTGCTGCCTGCTGGGCGCACGCATCTGGCATGTGAAGGACAGAGTGGAGCGTCTTGTTCGCTCCGGGGGTCACCAGCCGCTCCTAGTGATCCATGTGGGCACAAACGACGTGTGATCGGGATCACCAGGGACTTCGAGGCCTTGGGGAAGAAACTCAGGGAGCTGAAGGCCCAAGTGGCCTTCTCGTCGATCTTACCAGTCCAGGGATTTGGGCCAGGAAGGGACAGGAGGGTCTCCGAGGTGAACGACTGGCTTAGGGTGTGGTGCCAGAAGGAACGCTTCGGGTTCCTCGACCACGGCACTCGTTTTCTTGCCAATGGACTTCTGGCAAGGGACAGGTTACACCTCACGAGGATGGGGAAAAGGTCCTTTGGAGATGCTCTAGTGAGCTTCGTCCGGAAGACTTTAAACTGAGCTGGGGGGGGGGTCAGGCCCCCCAGGAACGTGTCTGCACTGGACAAGTGTGGGAGGAGTATCAGGGGGAGTATCAGGGCTCTGGGAGCAGGGTTTTAGAGATAGTGCAGGGACTGACAGGACTCCTTCAGAGAGGGGCCAGGTATCAGGGAGTATGGGAGGAAGGAGGAGGCTGTGGACTCAAAGGAAAGGAAGCAGTGGGAAGGAGTTGAGGTGCATGTACACCAATGCTAGGAGTATGGGTAATAAGCAGGAAGAGCTTGAAGCTCTCCTGGGAATAGGAGAGTATGATCTGGTGGGAATCACAGAAACTTGGTGGGATGAAAGGCAAGTCTGGAATGTGAACACAGAAGGGTATCACCTTTTTAGAAAGGACAGGAAGGGAAAGAGAGGTGGGGGCGTGGCTTTATACGTCAGGGAAGGGATAGGATACAGTGAGATAGAATGCAGCACAGATGGGGATTCGGTAGAGGCAGTCTGGGTGAAACTTAGGGGGTTTGACAGGGAAAGAGACCAGACAGTGGGGGTATGTTATCGCCCTCCAGGTCAACTTGAGACCCTGGATGATGTCCTGACAGGCCAGATTCTAAGGATATCTCAGGGGAGAGACACAGTAATTATGGGAGGTTTCAATCTCCCGGATATTGCTTGGGAGACTCACTCGGCGGTGACAGCCAGGTCACGTCGCTTCCTAGAAGCTATAGAGGGAGGGTTTTTCACACAGAGGGTCCGAGAGGCGACCGGGAGGTGGGGGGGGGGGACATCCTTGACTTGGTCTTGACCAATAGGGAACAGCTGATAGATGAAGTACAGATTAGGGGAGCTCTGAATGTGAGTGATCACTCCATCCTTTGCTTTGAGATAAGGGGACTGGGGACGGGCAGCAGGGGTTCTCTCACGCCCGCTGGCCTCCATTTTTGAGCCTCGTGGAGAACGGGTAAAGTTCCAGAGGACTGGAGGGTGGCATCAGTGGTCCCAATTTTCAAAAAGGGTAGTAGAAAGGACATGGGGAATTATAGACCGGTTAGCATTACGTCCATTGTAGGAAAAACAATGGAAAGGCTCATAATAGAGATCTAGTGATGCTAGATAGGGAAGGGAGGCTGACAGCCACACAACATGGCTTCTGCAAAAACAGGTCCTGCCAGACAAACCTTGTGGAATTCTATGACAAGGTTTCGCGATGGCTAGATGGAGGGGATGCAGTGGATGTGGTATACCTGGATTTCAGCAAGGCCTTTGACAAAGTGCCCCATGATATCCTGGTGGAGAAACT